TTTTTTTCTCTTTTGAACTATATATGAATTATTTTTATCACAGATGCATAAATAAAGCAGTATGAGAAGAAAGAGAGGCACTCTAATAATAATTGGGAAATTTTCTTGTTTTTTAAAATAAAGATACAAAGTATCAACCATTATATCTCTTCTTTCAGGAGATGTTAGAATGATGATTTTATCACTAGTTGGTAGGAAGTTTTTCTGTCTTTCATACTATATATACTTTCTTATTGTCACATTCATAATCATAGTGACATGAGAAAAAGCAGAGAAAGGTCGGTACTAGAAGTGTTTGATGTTTTTATCGACTCATCAGAGAGGCCTTGTAAAGTAGTGGTCATTTTTCCTGCCAAACAAATGCTCGAGAAAAAGAGATGATATTATACTTATCAAGCATTTAAAACATGAACAAACAAAATTTTCACCAAACGCTGAGTCTCCAGTAAAAATTTTCTTGTGAAAATTTAAGAATATCTAGAATCTGTTGATAATCGGAGTAATGTAAGGCTACGTAAGTTGGCTAAGTGTTTTAATTTTAACAATAGACTCTCAGTTCTCATTTCGTGGAAAAACAGTAGTGGACATCAGGGAACATTGTGAATGTTTAAAAAACAAATGAAAAAGATAAATAAATTGTCTATTTCGAAATGCCAACTTGATGGGAGAAATAACCACTGTTTTACAAGATTTCTCTGGTAAATCAACGAAAATATTCAAATTTCTTAGTACTAACATTTCTCTTCTTTTGGCTTGCCACTCTGATTATGAATGTGTGATAAAAAGAAAGTATGTGTAGTTTCAAAGACGAAAAAATTTCTACCAGTTGGTAATAAAGTCACCATTTTGACACTAGTTAAAAGAAGAAATGTAGTAATGAATATTTGCGATGTCATTTTGAAATATATGAAAAGTGTGGAATTAATTTTAGTATGCTTCTCTTTCTTCTCATGCCGTTCTGTTTATGAATGTGTTATAAATATAAGTCATCAATAGTTTGAAAAAGGAGAAAATTTCCTATTAATTGATAAAAAAAATTCTTTTCATAACAGTGTCTATGAAGAAATATAAGAATCGATATTTGTACCATTATTTTGGATCATAAATTATATTGGTACTTGTGTGATGATATGAAAAAGAATTAGTGAATATGTAAATGTATTAGTTTAGAATGTCCATATTGTATTTTCTATATATTGAGATCTGTTTATAAACAGAAAAATGTGTTTCTTCTTCTAGATGAACGTATTTTTAGAATAGAATCATGATTTAGTATTTCTACATTAGAAGACAAGTTTACCTTTGTGTCGGAAATAACTGAGAATACGATTGGCGAAAATACCATTATAAGATTCACTAGTATTCAAAATAATGAAAAATTGATTGAAACTATAATTAATAAGGTCGAATCGGTCAAGATAATATTGTGCATGAAATACAATTTATCATTTCGGCTCATAACTCTCTTCATGAACTAAAGCAATCGGTTATGGTGTAAACTTGTTTTTAAATTTCATATATTATCAATTAATGATAAAATACCTGAAATAAAAATGAGTATTGTTGGATCCTGATCAATAACAAACTTAATAAGTAAGTGACAAATTGTGATGGATGATTAATTTTTTTTATCAAGCACTTTTGATATTAGAGACAGAAGCCGATACATTAATGGCTGGCGACTGGTAATGTTTAAGTCTTGTTTGGCTTCGGGCAGCGACGATTTTAATTATTTGACGTTCGGACCGTGATACCTGAAATTTTTCCATATTTTTAAATATTGTCTTAGTTGTGTGAAATCTTGAGATGAAAAAGAGAGTAATATGGTTGTAGGAAACCTGATGATAAGAAGCTAGACAAGAGCATCATCGAAAAACTGATTATAGATGTCAAAGTTTAAAAAAACCGATGATGTACTCCAATGTTTCGGTGACAGCGGCTGAAATGTCTGAAAAATATTGCGATGATCAACTGCAGCGATCCAATTGATTGGTTCACACCTGTTTACTATTAAAATAGTCATGAATTCTTGTAATCAATTCCATTTGATACTTGAGTAACTTATCGAATCACACGAATACATTAGAATGCAATTTTTGAAGAACATTTGTTTTTATGTGTCTAATTTATATATGAGGGATGAATTTTAGTGTCTAGTTAATTATATTACATGCATAGATCGCTGACTTATTTGTAGTATTTCAAAGAAATTATTTCTATTTAAAAGCCACCTACTTTATCTACAGACATAACTTTAGTCATGTATACTGATACCCGAAAATTTTAACACATAACTATACAATAATTATTTTTCACTAATAGATATTTTACAATAACGCATTAGAACAATTAATTCAAAACCTGATAAACTATCAGAGCTGGGACCGGTTCGGTTTTTAACCGAACCGAACCGACCGACCGTAACCGAAATCGGTTCGGTTGGAGATTTTTAGAGAATTCGGTCGGTTACGTTCGGTTCGGTTAGAGACTTTTTCGGTTACGGTCGGTTCGGTTAGAAATTTTAAAAAATTCGGTCGGTTGTGTTCGGTTCGGTTAGAAAGAATCAACATAATCGTTTCATTTGAGTTCAATGGACTTTTTCAGTGAAACATAAGAAGAAAAAAGAATATAATCGTACAACAACTAGCTGTTGCTCGCAACGCGGATTATCTCACATATTTTTAAAATTTGCCCTGAGAGGTAAGGAAGTTATAATAAAGTAAGAAGATCCAATAAATAATCTTTATTCTTTGCTTTCTCTAAGTGTTCATTATTTTTAGTTGCTATTATTTGATTTGTTGTTGCTAATTTATAAAGCACTAATACCCTAACTAAAATAAGCTAAACTTCGCTTTCTCTAAACTCGGTTCGATTACAAAATTTTTGAAATTCGGTCGGTTACATTCGGTTCGGTTAGAGATTTTTTCGGTTACGGTCGGTTCGGTTAGAAATTTTAAAAAATTCGGTCGGTTACGTTCGGTTCGGTTAGAGATTTTTTCGGTTACGGTCGGTTCGGTTTGGCAAAAATGCCAACCGATCCCACCTCTGTAAACTATATATATTTATTAAGGATTGTTGAATTTGAATTAATGTTCTTTGCTTTTAGATAGAACATATTCTTCCATGAACTATTCAAAAAGCTATGATTTTTCTCATCATATATTTATATCAAGTTGATTAGTATTCCATCATTTATTTTCAAGAATAGCTTAGAAGTTAATTTCACTATCTAGATATTATACATTCCTAATGGCAGACAAAGAAATTAGTAGATGTTTAGTATGTGATGATGTTTCAATGGGTATTAATTTTGGAGTACCAACATGTATGCCATGTAAAGCATTTTTTCGACGAAATGCAGTTAAACTTGGTGTAAGTTAACTTTCGACATAGAAATTTATTTCAAAGTACGAAGTTTTTCTTCTTTAAAGACTCATGAATTTATATGTCCAAATGATGGTGATTGTATGATAACATATAAATATCGTCGTATATGTAATTGTTGTCGTTTGGCAAAATGTTTTCGTGTTGGAATGAAAAAATCATTTATACTTACTGATGAACAACGTGAAGCTCGAAATAAACTTATAGCAATGAATCGTATTAAACGTGGTCAAATAGCTAAACCACAATGTCTTGCATGGGTTTGTATTAAATAAATATTCGACATTGATTATTTTGAATTTATAAGAAGAGAATATGAGAATGAATTCATTTTTTTATAAATTGTATAATTTTAACAGATATGTCTTGTCATGAAAATCATGTCATTAAAATCAACATGAATCATTAGACATAAATTGTTAGTAAAAACATAGAATATTTTTTTTTTGAAAAAAATGAGCGTTGAGATTGATACTGGAATGTAGGACGTTAAGTTCGAATACGTGCCTTCTCATCGACCAACATAAAACCGAAACTAAAAACCTATATCATTTAATATAAGTTATTTTTTCAATGTGATTTATTTAAATAGAAAACAATTCAAAGTTTGAAATTTTTAAACTTTGCTCATGACAATTTTAAGAAATTTTATATATTCAGGTTTCACTCTTAAGTGAATGCAATTTATAGAGTTAATTAAATATGTGGTTCCACTATTTCTTTTTCAAATGAGTTGCAATTTAGAAAGTTCGTTAGGTTCCACTGTTAGTATGCATGTCACAAGCTTTTTTTTCTTGATCTGGAGCACATCCCCTTATTGTAGTTGTAATATGTAATCAACACCGATTGACACAGACTACTCTAAGTGCAACAGCGTTTATATACAAAAATAAAAAATATAGAAACTGATGTTCAAATAAAGACTGCTCTGAAATACTAGCGTGAATAAGCGTCTGTTGTTTGAACACACAGTCGCAAAACATATAGAATAGACACTATAAATTATGATTGAATATCTTTTCAATTTCATTTTGATTGCGATTAAAATCCTGTGTAATTAAGCGCAAACCGATGACCCTTACTCGTGAATCATGAGTATTACTTTACCAATGAGAGACAAACCAGTCAACTAGTGCATATATATTGACAATATTTACTTCTCTTTCACAAAACTCATCTTTGATTCCACTCATAATAATAATTTATTTTAAGACTCAGATTAATTTCAAGACCAGTTATTATCATATATGTCAAACTTCGAAGGTGAATTCAATTGTATTCTTAACTTTCCAATCAAGCTAGTATCGAAGTAAAGTTACTGAAGTTTGAGTAAGAGCAAACCGAGATTGAAGTGGTATTCATAATGCTCTTTATAATGTTTACGTTTATGAGAAAAACATTGAGAAACTACATATGGATGATTGAAAGTTGAATTGAACTTAACCTGCAAGTTGCACACTATTCCAATTTCGTGGAATTTATCGACAGGGTAAGTAGTATCTTATTGTCTCCCCTTGCTTACTTTTTGTAGATACTGTACGCATCACTTTTGCTTGTTGACAATGTTTAGAAAATACATCGAGCATGTTTTCTTATACGCTTTCAGTACTATATTTGATAGTCAAAATGTAGCTTTTTCTTAGACTACTAGATAAACTAATTTGAAATAAATATTTTTTTTTGTTATTAAAAGATGCAATCGCCATCCTTACTTCGTATGCCGTCTCGTACAATCCAATGTCTTTCTTCATCTGATCAAGTTCGTCTTGTTAATATTTTCAATGCATATGAAAAAACTTGTACGGTTGCAAAAAACACTACTTTAAGAAATTTACCTACTGTACAACACACATCTATACATGAATTTATCAATGAAATGTCTTCCGAATTTCTGATCTCTATCGAATATTTAAAACTTATACCTGAATTTAATAATCTCATAATGGATGATAAAGTAAGACTCATAAAAAATCACATTGGTACAATCGTTCATATAAATGAACCTCTAATGCTTCCGGTGCCGCCAAGTAATCTCATTGGAGCATGGATCAATATTTTCAATTTTGATACAACCAAACTTCTTATGAAACGTCATCAAATTATTCAACAGTATATCATTGATCCTATTCTATTAAAAATTGTTCTCATTATTCTTGTTCTTTCAAGTAGCAATTGTAGAAATATCAATCATATTGATGTGAATCTAATTTGTGATGATCCATTATCTATCTTCCTAGCTCAAAATATTTATGTAGAACTATTATGGAAATATATTTTATCACATTCACTCAATGAACAACATGCAGTGAAATATCTTAATCAATTAATGATGTTTATATTATTTGCACAAAACCTTCATATGGAAATAGATGATTACATAAATCACTTTAAACATGAAATAAAACAAATGGAACCAATGATGCAAAGCTTGTGGCCAGGAACAGATAATGAGAATGATATGAATATCGCTCAAGATGTTATTTCATAGTATTGAAGTGATTGATTATTGTTGAATTCAATGAATAAAACAAGGATTTATATTGAATAAGTTGGGTATTATTCAATTTCAATGTTTATCACTTTTTGGTTATCAAGAATCTGGTGATATTTAGTTTTCTGATGTTTTTAAGTTTTTGTGCTGTAATTGTTTTTTTTTTTGGATGATCTGATGATTTTCAAGTTACATTTATATATTAGTATCTATATAATGATCTGAATAATGTATTGGTAAATATGTAATTTTATAAGTTTTTAATGTTCTGTTTTATTCTCTGTATTGGGATATGTTTAAAGAATGAAAAATTTTTTTTTTAGATGAATAAATTTTTAGAATAGAATTATGATTTAGTACTTCTACATGAGGAAACTAGTTTTCTTTTATATCGAAGATATCTAAATATATACACATTATTCAAATTAATATTATCGATAAAATACAATTTATTACATTGATACATGGCTATTTTAATTTACTAAAATGCAATCTGTAATGTTTTAAACTTATTCTTACATTTGGTAGATTATCAATAAATGCTAAAATATGTTAAATAAAAATGAGTTTACTTGGATGATGGTCAGTAACAAACTTAATAAGTGAAGAGTTGTGATGGCTGATTATTTTTTTCCACCCAGTACTTTTGATATTAGAGACGGAAGCCAATACATTAATTGCTGGCGATTGGTAATGTTTAACTCTTGTTTGGCTTCGGACAGCGACTATTGAAATTATTTAACGTTTGAACAGTGATGACTGACAGTTTTCGATGTTTTTAAAATTTTTTTTAGTTCCGAAATTTAGACATAAAAACGAAGTCCTATGGTTGCAGAGAACGTGGTGGTAAGAAGTTAGACAATAAGATCGTTGGAAATGAGCCTGAGCGCGGAATATTGTCAAAAATATACAATGTACCTACATGTTCTGGTGGTAGTGGCTTTGTCGATCAGTTTACACTTCTGTGTAGTATGAAATGAGCCATGACTTCTTCCAAGCATATGCATAGAATCTTCAATATCTAAAAAATTTTGTTTCTTTTTCCGTTTCGAGTAATTTTTCGTATCACACAAATACATTGGAGTAGATTTGTTGAATAAAATTTGTTTTTCTTCGTCTACTCTATATATGAACTTGACATTTTCTTGTTTCTTTCTTCATAGGCTTTTTTAATGTTAAAAGTCAGTTAGGTTATTCTTAAAGATCGCCAAGTCTTGATAGGAGACTTAAAAGAGAATAGAAAATGTATTTAACTAAATACTTTATATGTGATGGTTGAGTCAGAAACATTTATTCGTAATATTTGAAAGAGAATACTTTTTATCTAAAATCCGTGATTCTACTTAGGACTATAACTTTAGTCATTCATGTTGTTTTCCACAATTTTTGAAACATGATGATGAATAATTAAAGAAGGAAATGATTTAAATAATTTAGATTATTAGATAAGTCCTTCGTGTTAACAGCAATTCGGCAACAGGTAAAGTTAAAATTTCCGTAAATTTACATTTTTTTGATCTGCATAAATGTTTATATAAATGTATAAGTACATAATCATTTCGTTTCACCAATAGATATTTTACAATATCTATGAGAAGAGTCAATGAAAAACGTGATGAGCTCACGAGGGAACATTCCCAGGTGTTGGAACACTTTTGAATCGGGACTTTGCGCATCTTGTAGGCCTTGATGAATTATGTCTACCGTAAAAAAAAGTTCGTGCCCCTAGCTTGTT